CGATTCTGGAAGGGACTCGACTCAGCACCCCAAAAAATGTCCGATGAGAACATTGAAATTTCCTATCATGTTTCTCTAGATTTCGGGGTGAGCACACGTCGTCTGCACCAAGGGCGTGCAGTGGGGAGGCGGGTTGAGGGTCCCTGACCGGATGGCTCCGATGAGTGTAATTGGATTCGTCGTGGCAGTGCTCGATACTCGTAGGCATTGAGGAGGGTTTATCCAGGTGAAAATTGAGTGGCGCTTAATTCGGCCCCGGGGATGCGCCGGCTACCCACGCTTAACTGAATTGTTTACGCCCGTCAAACGCCAAAATCGAAAACACTCATTAGCGGCGGATTGTTGATCCAAGAGGATAGACACCTCTTTAGTGCACATTTATGTGAACATATTCGTTTATAAACTACTTAAATAAATAAAAATAATTTTGAAATAAAAAAATAGGAGACTTTTTCTCAATTTACTCGAAATGAGAAATTTGACGTTTGACGGGTATTTGAAATAAACGATTCAATTGGGGAGGCGCTTCGATGCGTGGCAGCATTCCGGCGAATCCGGACGCTGCACAAAGCCGTGTTTCTACGCCCGCAGAGGGAATAAAGGCCAAAGAGCGTAGGTAATTCCCTTTGCGGAGGAAAATCTTCTTAGGAAGCATGTGTGCAGTTGTAGACTACGCAAGTGTATCCAGTTGTTGTAAATATTTTGGTTGTTTTATAGTTAAATCTATCTCAGCCAAATGTCTCTTTGGTATAGTGTAGCCATTGAGAAGCCCTTCAGTTCAAAATATTTTCCGCTTAACTTGGACATAGTCTCTACTGCAACATATGTGTCTTTTCTCACATACCCAAAATTCAGAGGTGAATCATTCATTGTTAAAGTAGTCGGGCATTTAGCTCGTTATTCCAAAAGTATTTTCAACATATTTACATACTCCTAAGATCTAATCTCATTTTTGCCATGTTCGAATATAGCATCGCTTATGCAGAAAACACTAGTACAATGAAGTGATGAGGTTCGTTGAAGTGTCCCTGCGCGTCAATTAACCCATTAGCGCCAATTTGCGCTGAGTGGTTCTGAACGGTGCAGAGCGGCGCTAGGCGGTGTTGAGCGGCGCTGAGTGACCCTGAGCGACTCTGAGCGGTTCTAAGCGGTGCAGAGCAGTGCTGAGCGGCGCAGACTGACTCTCAGTGATCCTGACCACCGCTGAGCGACGCTGAGTGGTGCTGAAGGACGCTGAGTGGCGCTGAGTGACCCTGAGCGGTTCTGACCGGCGTCAAGCGTCGCTGAGTGACGCTGAACGACGCTGAGCAATGATGAGTGACCCTGAGTGTCCCTGAGCGACGCTGAGCGTCGCTGAGTGATCCTGACCGGCACTAAGCGCCGTTGAGTGACGCTGAGTGGCGCTGAGCAGCGTTGAGGGCCGCTGAACGGCGCAGAGGGGCGCTGAGCTACCCTGACCAGCGTTGAGCGTCGTCGAGTGACGCTGAGTGGCGCTGAGAGGCGTTGAGGGGCGCTGAGGCCCGCTGAGCAGCGTTGAGGGCCGCTGAGGGACGTTGAGGGGCGCTGAGGCCCGCTGAGCAGCGTTATGGCCGCTGAAGCGGCGCTGAGGCCGCTGAGTGAAGCCGCTGATGGACGCTATCGGGCGTATTGAGGACCGCTGAGCCGGCGCTGAGCGGCCGCGAGGGCGCTCAGGGCGCTGAGGGGCGCTGAGTGGTTTCTGAGCGGCGCTGAGCGGCGGCGTCGTTGCGAGAACTGGAGCGTGACTCTTGCGTGTGGCGGCGGCAGGTGCCGGCAGCTGCTGGAGCGCGCCCGCACGGCGACCGACGCGGAAGGCCGCAGGCGCCGCGCAGCGGGGGCGTGGACGCTGCGTTTAACGCTTCCGCACGCCGCTCACCTCGCGCTGGTGGTGGTAAGCGACAACGCGACGGGCAGCGCCGACCTGCTGCGTACGCCGCCGACGCCGCGACGCCCCGCAGCGCGCCCGGGGCCCGCCGCGCGGGGCCATGGGCGCGGGCAAGCACGCAGATTCAGGAGCGCACGCCGGGCAGGTTTACTCGGGCTGCCGCCATGAATGTCCCGGTAGGCCACGGCGCGCATTCGTCTTGCTTTCTCCGCTACGGAGTAGCAGAAGGTATGAAACGCTGGCGCAGAACAAAAAATGCGGAATTTCGTAAGAAAAACTCTTATTGCATGCCCTGGTAAACGAAAAAGTGGATAAGATCCAGTGGGCTATTTTAGAAAGAAACAGAGCTTAACTTAGTGTAGCCAGATCCCATGTTTTATGAAATTTTGAAATTTGAATTGAAATCGAATCGAATTGATACGTGATCGTTCGAATCGAATTGAATTGAATCCTTATTTTAGGTGGTAGACGCAGACCAGTGAGCCTCCCCTTCGTACTGATGGAGTCTTCTGATACCGAAAAATCCATTTGACCGGCAAAACGCTGTCTGTAAACAACGCTAGCAGCTAAACCGTTGTCGGCCGATGTTTCGCCCAAAATTTATTTCCCAAATCGATCTAAGTCTGATGTCAGGCCCCAGGAAATTTGAAGTCAGTCATTTTAATGTTTTTGGGGTGGAGGGTAGCCCCTGAGACCATTTTCCAAAAATTTCAAAAGACATTTTGTTGTTGATAGTGTTCATCAGGACGTTAAAGAGAATGGGCGCAGGAGTCGTGTAATAGCTTGAAAACCCCCATTATTCAAAAAAATTGCAAAAATTCAATGTTTTGCGTCTTCTTACAACACAATTACGGAAGAATTAAACTTTTTCTTTAATAACATCTGTCTTCGATCTAAAGAATAACATTCGAAGAAATACTTAATTTTTCGAGCCAGTTGATTACTTTAACGTAATTTTTTTTGTCCGTGAAAAATTTACGAGGTAGAAAGTACGTGCTGTTGTAGCAAGTGCCCTGCATTTGCAGACGTCGCAGGCATGGGCCCGATCGGCCGCCGGATGCGCGGATGGGCTACGCAGCGGTGCGCGCACGCACATGATTTGAGGGGCAACGGGGGCGCGCACCGGCGCTCGCGCCCGCGGCCCAACACCCCCGCGCCCCCGCCCGCGCCACGGAAGTGAGGCGCGCGAAGCGACACTTTCCATGTGGATGCCCATCCTCGCCCCTCCCTCAATTTACACAATTCTTGCATGGCACACATTTAATTGCTACTTATTGGCTATTGTATTGTGCGGAATGTGAGGCGCGAAAAGCGACACTTCCAGATGCATGACACTCGCCCTCCCCTCAATTTACACACTTCTTGCTGGCGCAGATTTAATTGCCTACTATATTTTACTATGTTTTGTGGCGGAAGGTGACACACGAAGCAACACTTCCTTGTGGATGCCCATCCTCGCCCTCCCTCACATTACACACTTGCTGGCATGGCACAGCAGTTTAACTGCTACTGTTTGCTACTATTGTTATTGTTGCGGAGGCGACGACGAAGCGTCAACTTTCTCTGTGAATTGCCATCCTCGACCCCTCCCCTCAAACGTTTACCTCACTTCTCTGCATGCGCACAGCATTTAATATCTACTTAGTTAGCGTACTTGTTTATTGCTACAGGAAGGGTCTGAGCGCGAAGCGACACTTCCATGTGATGCCATCCTCGCCCCTCCCTCAATTTACACACTTCGTGCACGGCACAGCGTTTAATTACTACTTATTTACTATTGTTATTGTGCGGAAGGTGAGGCGCGAAGCGACACTTCCATGTGATGCCATCCTCGCTCCTCCCTCAATTCACACACTTCTTCAATTGCACAGAATATATATAGAGACATCATTTAATTGCTACTTATTTACTAATGTTATTGTGCGGAAGGTGAGGCATGAAGCGACACTTCCTTGTGATGCCATCCTCGCCCCTCCCTCAATTCACACACTTCGTGCACGGCACAGCATTTAATTACTACTTATTTACTATTGTTATTGTGCAGAAGGTGAGGCGCGAAGCGACACTTCCATGTGATGCCATCCTCGCCCCTCCCTCAATTTACACACTTCTTCAATTGCACAGAATATATATAGCACAACATTTAATTGCTACTTATTTACTATTGTTATTGTGCGGAAGGTGAGGCACGAAGTGACATTTCCTTGTGATGCCATCCTCGCCCCTCCCTGAATTTACACACTTCTTGCATGGCACAGCATTTAATTACTACTTATATACTATTGTTATTTTGAGGAAGGTGAGGCACGAAGCGACACTTCCATGTAATGCCATCCTCGGCCCTCCCTTAATTTACACACTTCTGGCATGGCACGGAATATGGCACAGCATTTAATTGCTACCTATTTACTATTGTTATTGTGCGGAAGGCGAGGCACGAAGCGACACTTTCTTGTGATGCCATCCTCGCCCCTGCTTCAATTTACACACTTCTTGCATGACACAGCATTTAATTACTACATATTTACTATTGTTATTGTATTTCATATTATAAACTTCAAACATACATGTATACACATTTTATATTAAATACACATAAACACATACATAAACTCCACATGCACTCATTGCTACTACGGTTTTGTAAGTTGTATAATGGAAGATTAACCACTTTGAAAGAAAGATGATTCTCCAAAGAATAATTCACCACCCTCCGAATGTGGAAGGTGCTTCATGAGAACTTTCTCGAACTCTGACGCCACGTGTGTTTTTCGAACTTTTTAGTGCAATAGTGCTTACGCCATTTTTAAGGAATTTGAAGTGTAATAGGGACAGGACAATTAAGTTATTACAGAAATATTATAAATTTCGTATAATAACGTATAAATTCGTATAAAGAAATATTATAAATAAACCAGACTAAGTGTGTGTGTGTGTGTGTGTGTGTATGTGATTTACATAAAAATGTTAAGAGTGGACCAAATGAGGATACAGGAAATATAGTTTAGCTTGCGTATTGAACACAGAGAACAGTATGAACGCCCACAATTTCAAACTGCGTTTATTTTTAATTGTTGATGTTTTATGTTTTTCTTAGCATGTGAAATGTTATGAAGGCTATTTATCCGTTCCAGTGGTGCAGTTATCGTCATTGAGTTGGCTGAGTGGTGGTGTGGCCGGCAACGGATCACACGTATTCATTCCTGAAATTGTTGGCTTGGTGCCTTACATCGTTGCCGAACCTTCGGTGAGTTCCCATTGAACGTCCCCGCGATCTTGCAGAATCAATATTTTACACAATTTTATTCTCTACACTAAATTTTTCAAGTCAAAATAGTATGAAATAAGATCTCATATTATTTAGTAATACACTCGGCTGTGCAGATTACCCAAATTCAAATATCATTTTCGTATCACCATGCTCAGAGTAATAAACTAGAAGTTATCGTCAACGCCCTTTTTCGGAATGTCGAAATGGCGCTTTAAGTCTTCATTGCAGAGTACGGAAATATCAAAGGGTAAAAAGAACGGCGATTTACAATGCACGGTCTACACAAGTGAGCTTTTCTCACACGATCGAGAGTCGATCCAGTGCTCCAGCCTCTGAACAAGATCGCGTGACCTTAAGATCGTTTTGTGGAGAAGGGGGAGGGTCGTGTGAGAAGAGTGCATTTCAAGCCTTTGAAGCGGATCTCGCCAGCCGACCCCGGCGATAACATATTCACTACACTTACGGGAATAATGACTCTAGACATTAACGCGCACGGAATCTCTAATCAAACAACCAAGTTCCATAAAGACATAGTAACGAGCTAGTAAAGTATGAAACGATTAGTTTGTTTTTGTATTTGTATTTACACATTATGTATCCCGTAAATGCAATTGGTCTCGGCGCCGTTAGATCCCGGGGTTTCTAGTCGGTTACCCAACCAGGTAACCGCAATGTCTCGAATTCACGTAGTCTTCGTGACTTTATGTAGTTCAGTAATTAGGCTAGCGACGCCGGTTTCACGATTGTGGGCTTTCAGTAGAACCATCCCAGCATTCGCCTGGATGTCCCAGGGAAACCCCGGTCAGGGTTTCCACGAAGATGGAACCCGGGCCTCCCGAAAACGAAGCCAGCGCCAGCGCCTGAGCCACCCCGCTCGGTGAAATGATTAGTTGTAGACAGGGCTCGGATTCTGACGACCTAAAAATTCTTTAAAAATTGCCTGTATTATGACTTTAAACTAAGAGGAAAATTACCTAAAATGACATCCATAGTATAAGAGGAAATTACCTATTTTTTTAAAATACTCAAAAATTTGAATAAACATTTATTAATTCATTGCATTTTACAATTTTATATAAAATGTATTTATGTAAAATTATGTTTAATATAAAGACTTTATTTTAGGAGAAAATGTAATCCTTATATCTGATTTTTCAACCCTCAGTTTTGATAGGTCAAGGAAGTTACCGACGTTCCGTGTAATTACGAGACTTCGAAAACAAAGTCTACTGCAATAATGAATTTTGTCATGAACTGTTGATATAATAAAAAAAATTGTTCTAGACTGCGATTGTAAATTCATGAAACATTAACTCACCAAGAACACGAATAGGAAACAAAATGCGTAAAAATGACCCCACGACTATACATTCATGCCACATACATGTCGTGATGAACATGAATGTGCGAGTTGGCTGCGTGTAGCCTGCTCCAACGCGAGCCCCAGCTGCAGGCTTCTAACGGGCTGACTGCGGGTTGGCAGGGGGCGCAGGCGGTGAGCGCGGCCAGCGCGAGAAACTGCACGGTGGCGCGTGGCGGCGCGCAGATCGCCGGCCGCTGCCTGCCGCTGCCCAGCTGCGCGCTGCGCGTCTTCGCAGACGACGTCGCCCACTACCTGCCCTTCTTCTGCGCGCTCGGGAGGTAAGTTAGTCACTTATATTACGTGACGAAATTTCATTTTTTGTGTAGCAAATTTCGCTACTCTTCTTTTACCATCTAGTGGAGAAAGAAGATATCACTCGAGCGACGAATCAGGCAATTTTGAATTTAGCTCAGAGGATTCATTTAGGCTTGAAGTTCTTTTATATGCAGTAAATCTACTACATGAGGCAGCCGGTTTTACTTCCCCTCCTAAGGAAGGCGTGCGAATGATTTTTTCGCCCATAAAAATCCACGGCTTCGGTTGAGTTTGAATCCGCAAACTGTGTTTCAACAGCCAGATATGTTAACCGCAATACCACCGAACCCGTGAACTACTTGGAAAATTGGGAGACGCCGCGTCCTATTCTGCGACCGCGTCAGATTCTGCGATGTTCCTCAAGGCGAAAGGCGACGCAGGTCGCAAAATGGCGGTCGAAAAGTTAGCACCTGTGCCTAGGTGTGGGGCGGCTTCATGTGACATCCAATCGGTATGGCATTTACAGATTCGTCCTGTAGACATTAAAATCAATGAAAAAAATGTTTTTTTCCCCAGGTGTGTACTTATGATACATGACCTAGTGACAAATTGAGTATTTTTCAATTAGTTTAGCTACTACTTAGAGACTCAGAAAAGGTAAAGGATGGTAATAATCGGCAATGAAAAATAATTTTCTGCTATTAGAGCAAAACATTAAGCTCGTAATACAAGAGAGCATTAAAATGACACTGAATTCAATACGGCGTGCAGTTTGATACGCCACATCAGTATGGCATAGAACTCCTTCACACTTTGGCCACCTAACGAACAATATTCAACAAGAATTACGGACCAAGGCCATAGCTTTTTTTCTAGACATTTAAAAAATAATGCAGCAGCAACGCTAACACCTACAAGCCGCCATATTTTCGATGCAGCAGCAACGCTAACACCTACAAGCCGCCATATTTTCGATTTCCTGTTCCTTTTAACACTGGCTAACGTCTCGAAAAGGTTTCGCTTTGAGCTTATCACACGTGGATTTTCTTGCTGGCTCTCGGTCTATCATCCCCTCTGCACAGAAATAGCGATTATTGCTGCAATCCGGTGAGCTTTCACTGCTTCCTGAACACGCTGAAAAGGGTTGCACTGAAAATCCTGCGAACGAAATCAGAACAAATAAAGTCTTTGTTGAATAGAAACGTTAATCCTCTAACGTAATACATCATCTATCAATTATCAATACGAAAAGAAGGCATAAATATTATTTACCTGGAAGTCTGAGATAATAGTTTGGGTGGTGATCTCAGGGCTACTGATTTCGGCAGGTCTGGTTTACAGGTGTGTTGATATGAAATCAAAAGACGTAATTGTGAAAAGGTAATTTGCATAGTAAACAGTGTATTTGCTTATTAAGTTTGTATGTAATACTAATGACTAGTTTTAACTTATTTTTTTCTTATGACAGTCACGCGGGATCTTGCTGCCCTGAGGAAGTAGTGCTGGCTCAGACAGCAGGATCGGTGCAGTCAGCAGGAGCGGTGCAGACAGCAGGATCGGGGCAACCAGCGTGAGAGGAGAGAGAGAGAGCGCCCTGCCAGCCTTCCAACTACCATCACATATTTTCTCTGCACCGAAATAGGGCCCTTCATGTATAATGGCCTACTGGTCACATCTTTAGCTAAGTTCACGTCGAGTTCACTATTTGTGGTATGAACTGAACGTTATTTTCTTCTTTTATTATTCACATCTAACATGTTTCCAAAAACTAAGCAATGTTTGCTGTATGATTCTGAAGATTCGCTCCAATACACAGTTAATTGCTGATTAATTTTGTGTTAATTTTAGAGTTATTTTTATATTAGTCTTTTAACTGGAGTTATGCCCTAATATTTTGATGTTATATCAAAAGTTGAATGCCTTCCCAGAGTGTAGAAGAGTTAAGTATTTTCTAAACCAACTTTTGTCTTCCAATTAAGACTGCACTCTTTGAAAAAAAACAACAACAACAATGTAAATATATTACGCAGAGATGTGATTTTTCTTTCATTTATGCAATAAATGTAAATTTACACATCTTACTCTCTTTACGATTTTCATTAAGGGATTACATACAAAATGGGGATTTCAATATTGATTATTGAAATATTGAACCAATGTATTCAAAATGAATATGTAAGTTAACTCATAACTTTTTGCATTAAACATTATTTTAAAATATTTTTACATATTTGTGAATATTAAATGTTTTAAAAATATTTTGAAACATTTTTTTCTGCGGGACACTAAGCATGGATTAAGCGTGCTTATGCTGTTTCAGTACACTAATTAACATAATAAAATTGCGGATTATATTTCTAGTTGTTAAAAAATAGTATAAAAGAATAAAACTGATGAAATTTTTTTTAGAGAATCGTGAAACATTCTCAACCGTAATAAAATAAACACTAAAGAAATTATATTTTACACTATATCTGCCCTTTCATGTCCACATTGTACGGCCTACTTACTTAACAAAGAGATAGTATCTTCTGTTTTCAATTTTCTCTTAAACAAATTAATGCAAGAGTATTTAAGATGACCGGAAGAAGTCGCTCAAGGCTCAATTGATGGTATGGCAGTGTCTCTGACAACAGAGGTCGTAGGTTCGAGTCCCGACGGTAGCAGGATTTTCGACACTAGCTAGAGCTAGTTCGAATTCACTTACTGAAAGAGAATTGTAGCGGCCGGCTGTTCTGATCGGTAGTTTTCCGTGGTCTAGGCGAATGCCGGTGCAGTACCCTAAACAGCGGGCCACGGACAGCGCGTGATCTTTCCTTCCCCTTCCTTGTCCTATCCTCATCCTTTACGTACACCCACTTAAACTTACACGCACTGCGCTAAGAGACCGGTCGGGAACTTACAGCTTGTCCCGGCTGGGAGGGTTCGTCGCTAGGGGTAGATACCTGGTCTGGGAAAACCCCGCTACCGACAGTAGGTCGGCGCCGGACCTCGCTATACAGTGAGGGAAAGATCACCGCCACCTCCCGAGCAAAAACATGCACTCCATTTACGGGACTAAGGACCTTAATAGGTGACGCACATGGAGTCACTAACTAATCATTCCACACAATGAATCAGATGGCAAAATGTTATGTCAGTTTTTAAAAAACCATTAACACATTTGAGTATCAAAATGTGAAAATGACTCTGACATGAAAAATTACTCTGAAGCTTTTATCTTATTGAAATTTGCCACCATTGTTTTTTCATAAACTACAAGAGAAATGCACATTTTTCCTACTTCTCAATATTAATGAACAAGCGTGACTTACTCCATTATGTGTCTCATATAATGAAAAAGTAACATGTAATTTTGCCAATTTAGTACAGATTTTCCCCCTTCCGGACCAACACCAATACACCTCAGTCTATATACGAAGCTTTATTATTTGCACGTGTCTTAAAAGATGCATCATAACCACAATTATCACATATAAGATGCAGTGAACATAATACAATACCGTCTTTCTCCATAATTCATTTTGTGGCCAAATTGTGCACAAACAGAACATAAACGGTTATATTTTATCACCCCAATCAAAATTGAAATGTCTACTCGAAATTCAGAATCCTGTGTTTTGTTCTTTACAGCTACGTAATGTCAGCTCACTCACTGTCCGCCCAGATGCACTGGGAGCTTTTGTTGAATCAGTGTTCACTGATAATGCTTTCACACATTTTGACATATTTTTTCACACGTGTTTTTACTTTCCCGTATACATATGTATATACGGAGTAATAGACGCACTATAGGGAAAGTTATGTAATACTGCAGAAATCGATTTCGATATTTCAACGGAAATGCCGTTTTGGGGTCCCCTGATACCGATTTTTTCTTCAAAACGTCCGTCTGTCCGTTTGTCCATCCGTCCGTCCGCCCGTCCGCCCGCCCGTCCGTCCGTCCGTCCGTCCATCCGCCCGTCTGTTTGTCCGTCCGTCTGTCCGTCTGTGAACTCCACTAGCACCTAAACAATACGAAGGATTTTCTCCAAAATGGATATTCCCCGGTCGATCTGATCCGACTCGAGAGGCTGCAATTTTCAAAAACTTTCTTCAAAATTTGGGGATACTTTAGATAAAACTTTTCAAACATTTTCAAAAACGGCTCTAAACTTTTTCTTTCAATTTCTTGTAGAAATAGAGGAAAATACACTTATAACGGTGACAGGTCCAATTTTCAGAGCTAACTCTGAATTTCCGATTTTTTAAAAATTTTCGGGCATCTTTTTGCAACTACAAAATTAAGAAAGATTCTTCCTTCAAATAAAATTTGTCTCCGCAGTCCAGTTCTTTCATTAAGGTCATGTACATTGTTTTGAACATTGCAGTACTTTTCGTGCAATATGTGCCATTTTCAAAAAATAACAAAACAAGATTTTCTCAATTTTTTAAAACTTTTGGCAGTGATCGTGATAACTGTACTCTATGAGATGTCATAAACATCAATTTTTTCTATTCTGTTGTTTCTTCAAAAATTACAAAAATGTAATTTGTTTACTTGTCCCTCGCGTCGTTAATATTTACATCAGCGGTGATTTGGTCACATTATTATATGCATGAAAATATGCACTTTAAATAATGTTATATAACTTTGGTCGAAAACTTAACAGTTTTCTGTGAAAACAAGCTCAAAATTCTGCATTTTCAGAAACGCTCAAACGCCATTTTCTCAAAAACCGCTCCACATTTTTTCTTCAGACTTTTCGAAGGGATAGTGCTTATTGCAGTGTTTAAGATGAATTAAGTGTGCTGTATTCATTTGTTTTTTCAAAACTTACATTTATGTAATTTTTGAAAGATCTGTCACGCTGTTATTATGCACATTGCCAGCAATTTGTAAACACAGTTGTATTTGTGAGTTGAAGTCCTTCAAATGGCTTCTAATGAAGTTTCTCGAAAAAACAAAAATTTTCTGAGTTAAAAAGCTTAAAATTTCGAACTCACAGTGGCACATCGAACAAATTTCGAACTCACATTTTCTTAAAAACAGCTCCAAATTTTTAAAAGAAAATTGCCATTTAGGACGACGTTATACTTTTTTATACATTATACGTTTTTTAAACATTCCTAAAATAATATTTCCATTCTCACATTTAGAAACCGAAAAATTAAGTAATTAAAAAAAAGTAGTTTGAACGGCGGTAGATCGCAGCTGGTAAGAGTATATGGCAAGTCTCAGTCGCTACCCGAGACCAAAAGATATAGAAAACTAATACTGGAATGTCTGTGCCATTCTGTGACACCACATAACTTTCCCTATACTACATATATACAGTGGCTCACATTAATATTCGGACAGCCACAAATACTGAAGGCGTTTCTTGTTTGACTGCAATTTTTAATACGTGCGCGGAAGTTACATATAAGGAAATGCAAAGGAACTGTTTCTTTATTGTTAGAAAACAGATAATACAAAGAAAATGTTTCTGGTGCACAACATACGTTTAAAAACACGGATTTATGTGTAAATATGCAAGAATATGAAGTCACATGAATATTCCGCCACGTAATGGAAAATGTATTATCCCTCGGTACTCTCCTAGATAGGGCGATAAGCGCACCATCCCCTACCCAGGACAAACGAAACTCTGCAGTCAGTCGCTGTAAATATTTCCGCCTGAAAACACCTTGCAATGAGCGCAAGGGAAAGAAGTGGAGCAGAGACAGCTTGTAGTTTTCCAACTCGCAAAGGGACGGTCCTGCAGGGAGATCGCAAATCTTTTACTCGTGAACAAGAGCATGGTGCACGATATCATTAAGAAATTTGAGAAAGAAGACAGAATTGAATCTAAACCGCAACAAGGACAACGTAAGAAGATCCACGAAAGAGAGCGAGTTTGAGGAAAGTACGAGAAAATCTGAAGGTGAGTGCCGTCCAGCTGGCAGCGGAACTGCGCGAAGCGTCAGGGACATCTGTGCACCCCGAAACAGTGCGCAGAATAATTAAGAATGCTGGATCTTACGACAGAGCGGCCAGGAAAAAACCCTTTTACGATGCTGGGAATAGAGCTAAACGACTTCAGTTTGCAAAGGAATATGTGACGAAATCAGAGGAGTGGTGGCGTGAGGTAATTTTTGTTGATGAGAAAAAAGTTTAATATTTTTGGCAGTGACGGTAGGAAAATGATATGGCGCAAACGAAATACAGAATTGCAATTCAAAATGTAGTGACAACCGTGAAACACGGGAGGTGAACACATAATGGTGTGCGGCTGCATATCAGCTGCTGGCGTGGGGGAGCTGGTGTTTATTAAAAACAAACTAGACAAACATCAGTATCTCAACATGCTGAGAATTTACACAAACTTGCTGACACATTGGGCATCAGGAACTTGTTTAAATTTTATGAAGGTAACGACCCGAAACACAAATCATATTCACTGCGGGAATGATTGTACAATTGTCCAATAGTTCTGGAAACGCCGCCTCAGCCTCTTGACCTCAATCCAATGGAGAATGTATGGCTTGAATTGAAATGTACATTCCGGAGAATCCCAATTACGTCAAAGTCCTATCTGCAAGCGAGAATCAAGGAAGAGTGGGGACAAATTGGACAATAGTCCCTGAACAGGATTATTGGTTCAGTATCAAAGCGATTGCAGCAAGTCATTGACAACAGTGGTTATGCTACAAAGTATTCATTTTCTTTTCGTTTATTTATTTATTCATTTATATATTTTATGTACCCGATTCATATATCACGTGCCCAAATATTACTGTGGCTAATACATCCAGAATATTTCATTTTATTTTCTTTTTTATTGAATACGTAAACTACATTCGGCATTTTGTTTTATTTATACCGTTATCCTTTAAAAAAAGGAACAATTCTGTTTCACTTTCTAGCTTATATTTCTTTCCTACAATCGTCAAAATATCGTAGATCTTACGATTTCTGGAGTACACTCAGGGCCCTATAAACCCCATATAACGTGGTGGAGGACCATTACGGTGGCGCCTCTGCTGCCATCACCTTCTTTACATGAACTAAAAACACGAAACTGTTGCAACGATACTTAAACGTGCGTGGCTACTGCGTGAGTATCGCGGGTCGCAGCAGGCCCCATAATGTGCAAAAGATAACGTTATGTTGCGCATTTTTCAGAGGTTTCTTTAAGTAATATATTTGAATAATAGTACATTTATAAGGACACTTTTCGTATTTCTCACAAATTGCAAAATTTATGTGGGAATGCAGGCCTAACCTGCAGCTGCACCGGCGCCACTAGCGCTGCCTATATAAGCAACCTCGAGCTTTGCCCCAGTTTGGTGGAGAGTGCCGCGGCCCTGGTTACATTGCTGGGTGTCGCGAATATCAACAAGCGGGAGTCTTTGTATACGCCAAAGGGCGCGATCCAGAGACGAATTGGGAGGGGAAATTCAAAAATATTTTCGTCAAATATTA